TGTTAGTCAACAGCATAACTATCTGTCAACAGCATAACTATCTGTCAATAGCATAACTGTAAGTCAACAGCATAACTGTCACTCAACAGCATAACTATCAGCCAACAGCATAATTGTTAATCAACAGCATAGCTGTCTGTCAACAGCATAATTGTCAGTCAACAGCATAACTATCAGCCAACAGCAGAGCTGTCAACAGCATAAACCTCAGTCAACAGCATAACTGTCAATCAACAGAGTAGCTGTCACTAAAAAGCATAACTGTCAGCCAACAGCATAATTGTCACTCAGCAGCATTATTGTCACACAACAGCATAACTGTCAGTCAACAGCATAACTGTCAGCCAACAGCATAACTGTCTGTCAACAGCATAATTGTCACTCAACAGCATAACTGTCAGTCAACAGCATAACTGTCAGTCAACAGCATAACTTTCATTCAACAGAATAACTGTCAGTCAACAGCATAACTGTCAGTCAACAGCATAACTGTCAGTCAACAGCATAACTTTCAGTCAACAGCATAACTGTCAGCCAACAGCATAGCTGTGCGTTCAGTGGTAATTATCAGAGTCTTTTAACATTTTCCCCTATGAAAAAAACTGCCTGTTCCATAATTTTCCTAAATCTAGCCAGGCATTTTATAACCCCTAAATCTATAGCACATTCCAATGCTGAGGTAAAGATGACCATAAAATTAACATTGAATTTGCTGATCTTTGCTTTTAAAATACATCTAATGATTCTTTTCACAGTTGCTGCTCTTTATCTCTATACTGTTTATTATCTCTTTGCTGTTTATTATCTCTATACTGTTTATTATCTCTATACTCTTTATTATCTCTATACTGTTTATTATCTCTTTGCTGTTTATTATCTCTATACTGTTTATTATCTCTATACTCTTTATTATCTCTATACTGTTTATTATCTCTTTGCTGTTTATTATCTCTATACTGTTTATTATCTCTATACTCTTTATTATCTCTATACTGTTTATTATCTCTTTGCTGTTTATTATCTCTATACTGTTTATTATCTCTTTGCTGTTTATTATCTCTATACTCTTTATTATCTCTATACTCTTTATTATCTCTATACTGTTTATTATCTCTTTGCTGTTTATTATCTCTATACTGTTTATTATCTCTATACTGTTTATTATCTCTACACTGTTTATTATCTCTATACTCTTTATTATCTCTATACTCTTTATTATCTCTATACTGTTTATTATCTCTTTGCTGTTTATTATCTCTATACTGTTTATTATCTCTATACTGTTTATTATCTCTATAATCTCTATACTGTTTATTATCTCTATACGGTTTATACTCTTTGGTGCTTATACATTATGACTTTATATGCCTGTAACTATGGACTGCTTACACTGCGACAACAGTTTTCCCGGCAGATGTGTGAGCCGACACCAGGACTGACTGATTGTTCTCCAGACACAACAGAGCCTCTTTCTGGAATGGATCGAGGATGAATGGGTATTCCTTGGCTGGCTTCTCTGCCATTGGCTTTAGAGGCACAAATTCAGCCTCAGGGGGAATGGCCACCTGTTAGAAAGATAAAACTCTGTATATCCTCATACAAATAAATCCTTGAAAAATACAAAACTTGTGCTTAACAGAGAAACACCATGTACATGAATGCATTGTTATATATAGAGTAGTGTAATTGCTTTTCAAAAAATTTCTCAAAAAGGTAAAAGAAACATTACCTAATGTCAAGATCTAGTAAATGAGTGTACACAGCTTTATGATGCTAGAATCATTATGATGTCATAATTGGTTTCTACTTATCTTTTTCCTGTAGTTTACGACTCTTATAAAATTATGTAGAAAATGGAGCATTTTTTACATTATTCAATATGAAATCATATGAGAAGTAATCTTGACATCCATTTTCAATCTAATATTCATAACAGGCATTCTTCAGTTTATACTTTTTTATTGAAAATGACAATTTAAAACACATTATTTTGCTGTGTTTACTAAACAATTATGCCCTGAAATATACCTTATTTGACCCTACATATGGTAAACAAGCATCATAAAAAGAAATCTTTTTTCAACTTTGGGAAGCCTGTGGGCACACTTCATGCATTAGAATTGGACCTTAAGTGGTCAGGAAGAGTTAAAAGTCTTAGACAATTTTGTACTGTTTATAACACACTTTATATTGTGCATACTCTGACTGACCTCATGTAAGCAGGCCTCTCTAGTCTCTACTTTGTATGTATTCTATAGACATCTACAATATTGTGATTTATGTATTACTGACCTCATGTAAGCAGGCCTCTACAGTCTCCACTCTGTGGACCTGGATTCTGGACATGACCTCCGTTTTCCTGAAACAGAACCTCCCAAATTAAAATAATCTGTCATTTATCAAACTATTTCCTACAAACATGTTACTTTTTCACTTTTTAAAGTAATAATGCATATAGATGGCTCTAAAAAGAAGTAATGCAGGTTGTTTCTATCAAGGAAATATTCCTGATTACCCAGTGTCCTCTGCCCTCTGTTTTTTCGACTGATGATGTTCCTCGTCTCCATTTTCTTCTGCTGCTCGTTTGTTACTTACAATGCTCTGTAAAAGTTCCTCTGTTCTGTTAAAAAATAATAATAAAAAGAAATTGACAACATCATCATGTTTCAAATTATATCACAAAATCATTCTTTTTTGGTAACATATTTAAACACTGGTGGATACTTCTAATTTAAAATCATGTTCAAGATTGGCATGGATATTAAACTACTGGGGATTTTTTAAATGCCTATAGTTATCCCAAATCTGGAAAAATTATACTGAACCTATTTGAGCTTCGTCTATTTTTTGTTATCAACCAGTAGAGCTGAATTATATAAGTAACACTGAATCAAAAAGTTATTACTTTTTCCAGATTAAAGAATCTTATTAGAAATAAGCTTTTGGATTTTAAAGATTGATCCTGATATCAAATATTTGTATATATGCATGTAATTCATAGTAATTACTATCTATTTATAACTGCATAATATTATGGCTTTATACCATCATCTTTCAATATCTGAATGTTTAAAATGACTATGTTTGTGATTTTTATGTATGACATTTTAAGTGACACTAAATTCTCTTAACCTTTTTCATAAAATCAAATTCATGCAAACATATCTAAAGCATATCGTACCTTTGGTGAAGATATAAAACGTGGCTTATTAGAGTGAACTCCTTTGACCAACATTAACCTGGGTAAAATAATGTGACTATTTGTGCAAATTTCTTAATTTCACACAAGTTTTCTAACTGTTTAATGCATCTTCTGCACAAGTTTGCACAATGTTAGGCTGACAGTAAACAAAGGTTTTGAAATGAATATCCATCCTTGATTTTCTATAGAAATTCACAAATGTTGGCTGCATGACCCCCTACCACAGTGTATGGCTTTGCTCTTTTTGTATACATGAACTTCAGAGCTAAAAATTGTTGAATCCTCATAATGGTTTATATATCAAATGGTGATGTGAAATGAAAAAACTATGCTTTATTTTAATCTTTATTATCAAATTTTACCAGGGCCCCTAAGTGTGCTTGTTCTTTCTATTTGGGACATTCTAATATACTGCATATTTGCTCTCTTAAAAGAATATCATTTTTGTAAATGAGATATCATAGAGAAAATATTATCATGTTATGACTTTCATGCTGTTTACAATCGTTGGATATACAATTATGTATATCACTATATGATATTTGAACAAATTTTTGATGTCCTACAATGATCAGTCACAACTTTCACACTGTCAAACAGCATACATGTGATATGTACCGGCTGTACGCAAAATGTACAGTTTTTCTAGCCCATTCCTCGTGTACCGGAATATGAAAATTTGTACAGTATTTTGAATTTCTCGCTAAATGCCGCCATTTTCCTCTCATTCTCGCTCGCGAGACACTGGAAAACATCACCTGTGTTGACACTTGACCTTCTGATAATTGTGTAGTGTACACAAACCATCGCATGCGAAGGTGTGAACTGCCAATTGGGATAATTATCTTGCTATAAATTCGTATCAAATACCCCTTTAGGTAGCTTTATTTTTTAAGGGGTACTTAATTACTGTTAATGTTTCGTATACGTAACCAGAGACATATAAATATGTCTCTGATGTAACTTGATTGAATAAAATTAAGCCAACTTCTAAAGTTGATATACATGACTTAATATACGTGAATCTGACCCAGATCTTCATAGGTATAAAATATACGATGTTTATTACAATGATTACGATGGAATTTCAGAAGAATTTAAGCGATATTATTTTGTACCGTTTTTTGATAGGCAGTGTACAGTTTTTTCACCCAAATTCCAGTTTTTTTATGGCTCCTGTACAGTTTTGTGGTCTTTGACTTATCACATGTATGAAACAGTGTTCATGTAAAATTACTTACATGCATAAATACCATATTCTCATTATTATAAGGTTTATTGGATATAATAAATAAACATGTACTCCAAATTTATATAATACGAATATACTAACTCCAAACTTACGACCAGCTCATAACAAACCTTGTGGCATCAGACTTGGGAAGGCCACCCCCTTTTGATGTACTTGGCTGTTGCTTACTTTCAGCTCCGTCAAACACATTAAATAAATCGTCGTCAAAACCATCTGCCATCCCTAAATCCTTGTAGGTTTATGGTGAATTGATTCAGTATTGACTCGCATAACTCGCAGCATGTGTTTTCTTTTCTTTGGGTTTCTAATTTCGTATCTTTCGATCCCGATCAATATAAAACTTTTTTTATATCAGCATAGTTGATTGTCAAAAATCTTTTTTCACAAAAAAATCCATGGAAGTGGTGTATGAATTTATGGATTTCAATCAGTAGAGCATAAAAAGCATTCATTTTATCACTCATTAATTTTGACAACGTGTAAGAGAATTAAATTGCATCGGGATCGATATTCAACCGCTATTTTCATTTTCACCATATGACCATATGCGAAAGATGACATCTCAAGTCGTCTTTACGTGTGCTTTTGTCCCATTTTTATTTCTTTGCGTTGTAGGAAATGATTTAGCAAGAGGTAAGTATAGATTTATATTGTGTATAGATGCTTTCTTTAAAATGGAAGTTTCTGTATTCTTTTAAACGACTCCGAGTTGGTATTTTCTTCAACTTGTTAATTAAAAAAAAAGAAAGAAAACTAGATGAGATCTCGTTGCGAGCAACGAGTGGGTCTTCCGTCCGATTTTTGATAAGATGAGATAAGACTTTGACTGAGATTTTCGTTCAAATATAATGATATAAATAAATTGTTAAGACGAACAATTTTGCTTTAATAATGTTTAACAAATTATTGATCATTAAAGGGTTTTAGATTAAAGACTTTCGGCCCTTCTTGGCCCCTAATGTGAGAGGTCAGCCCCTTTTTCTTGATATCATCTTAAAGCTCTCATGATTTTGAACACTTTTTGTTCAACAACTAGTCAGAAATTCTTTTTCGTTTCTGAGATATTTGCAAAGGAAGTATTTAGGGACCGGCCCTTCAACTCCTTAGTGAGGACTTCTAGCAAAAAATGAAAGGTTGCATATTGTTTAGAACATTATTTTGAACATCTTTTGTTCAGTAATTATTATCAAAATATTTCCCACTTTTGAGATATAAAGCGTCAAAGATTTAACATTCTGGCCCCTTATGGCCCTTAATTATGTAACATATGATGTGAATATCATAATATATAGTTGTAAATTGTTGAGATAAACATTTTTGCTTCAGTAATGTATTACAAAATATTGATCGTTAAAGAGTTATTGTTCAAAGACTTTCGGCCCCTCTCAGCCCCTATTTTGAGGGTCCAGCCCCTTTTTCTTCATATCACTTTAAAGCTCTCATGATTTTGAACACTTTTTGTTCAACAACTAGTCAGAAATTCTTTTTCGTTTCTGAGATATTTGCAAAAGAAGTATTTAGGGGCCGGCCCTTCAACTCCTTAATGGGGACGTTTAGCAAAAAATGAAAGGTTGCATATTGTTTAGAACATTATTTTGAACATTTTTTGTTCAGTAATTATTATCAAAATATTTCCCACTTTTGAGATATAAAGCGTCAAAGATTTAACATTCTGGCCCCTTATGGCCCCTAATTATGTAACATATGATGTGAATATCATAATATATAGTTGTTAATTGTTGAGATAAACATTTTTGCTTCAGTAATGTATTACAAAATATTGATCGTTAAAGAGTTATTGTTCAAAGACTTTCGGCCCCTCTCAGCCCCTATTTTGAGGGGCCAGCCCCTTTTTCTTCATATCACTTTAAAGCTCTCATGATTTTGAACACTTTTTGTTCAACAACTAGTCAGAAATTCTTTTTCGTTTCTGAGATATTTGCAAAAGAAGTATTTAGGGGCCGGCCCTTCAACTCCTTAATGGGGACGTTTAGCAAAAAATGAAAGGTTGCATCTTGTTTAGAACATTATTTTGAACATCTTTTGTTCAGTAATTATTATCAAAATATTTCCCACTTTTGAGATATAATGCGTCAAAGATTTAACATTCTGGCCCCTTATGGCCCCTAATTATGTAACATATGATGTGAATATCATAATATATAGTTGTAAATTGTTGAGATAAACATTTTTGCTTCAGCAATGTATTACAAAATATTGATCGTTAAAGAGTTATTGTTCAAAGACTTTCGGCCCCTCTCAGCCCCTATTTTGAGGGGCCAGCCCCTTTTTCTTCATATCACTTTAAAGCTCTCATGATTTTGAACACTTTTTGTTCAACAACTAGTCAGAAATTCTTTTTCGTTTCTGAGATATTTGCAAAAGAAGTATTTAGGGGCCGGCCCTTCAACTACTTAATGGGGACGTTTAGCAAAAAATGAAAGGTTGCATCTTGTTTAGAACATTATTTTGAACATCTTTTGTTCAGTAATTATTATCAAAATATTTCCCACTTTTGAGATATAAAGCGTCAAAGATTTAACATTCTGGCCCCTTATGGCCCCTAATTATGTAACATATGATGTGAATATCATAATATATAGTTGTAAATTGTTGAGATAAACATTTTTGCTTCAGCAATGTATTACAAAATATTGATCGTTAAAGAGTTATTGTTCAAAGACTTTCGGCCCCTCTCAGCCCCTATTTTGAGGGGCCAGCCCCTTTTTCTTTATATCACTTTAAAGCTCTCATGATTTTGAACACTTTTTGTTCAACAACTAGTCAGAAATTCTTTTTCGTTTCTGAGATATTTGCAAAAGAAGTATTTAGGGGCCGGCCCTTCAACTCCTTAATGGGGACGTTTAGCAAAAAATGAAAGGTTGCATCTTGTTTAGAACATTATTTTGGACATCTTTTGTTCAATATTGCTTATCAAAATATTTCCCACTTTTGAGATATAAAGCGTCAAAGATTTAGCATTCAGGCCCCTTATGGCCCCTTATTATGTAACATATGATGTGAATATTATAATATATAGTTGTAAATTATTGAGATAAACATTTTTGCTTCAGTAATGCATTACAAAATATTGATCGTTAAAGAGTTGTAGATTAAAGACTTTTGGCCCTTCTCAGCCCCTAATGTGATGAGTCAGCCCTTTTTCTTTGATACCGTATAAAAGATCTTGTAATTCTACACAATTTCTGTTCAATATGGTTTAACAAAATACTCATAGTTAAAAAGTTATCGTAAGAAATGTCTCTAAAATTCACTCATGATTCGTGTCCTAAATTTTGACCCCTACCGAGCTTCCATACTAGGTACTTCCGGAAGATTTGAAAACCCAGGTGATCAATGGCAACATGTCCTCTATCATCGCTGAAAATTTCAGCACTCTAGCTTTAATCGTTTTTGTGTTCCATTGCAGACAAGGAGGTCCTCTGAATTTTGATTAAAGGGCGATAACTTCCGACCGGAAGTGAATTTCAAAAAAATGAAAAAAACGTATAAGGTTCAGACAAAGATACATCTTATTTGAAATTTTCAAGTAAATCGATCGAGCCAACTCCGAGAAATCTTCTGCACAAAAATTGTAAAGAAAAAAAAAGAATAATAATAATAATAATAAAAGTGAAAAAGAAACAATAGAATAATAGAAGGGTCTTCCGTTGGAGACGGAAGACCCTAATAATCACTAAACTGAGTTCACTGGGTCTAAGAGCGAAACCATTACACGTGTAAACGGCGATGTTTCGATTATATGCTCTAAACGTTTACAGAAGGTCTACACGAAGGTCATTATGAATGGCTATCAGAATTAAAGTTTAATACAAACAAGTTGTTTTATTTCAGATTTACCAAAGAAACACCGTCTTTGACGTCTTGGAGCATTTCAAAAGCAATTGTTTTCTGTTTTAATCGATACCGGGAACATATTTAACAAAAATATCCAAAACCTGATACAGTCTAACATATTTAATTCCGATTTCTGAGTTGCGAATACTAGCGATGTTTTATGACTTTTGATAAAACTTGATATACTTTGATTAAATAAATATAATACGTTTTCACCAGTCTTTGAAAAGTGGGTTCAATACAGTCAACAGGTCTTGTTATACTTAATTTGGGATTAAAAGATCCATCTGCAAGTTTAATTTTACAATGCTTTTTCTACATCCGGTATGTAGCCAAACAAACCAATGCAATATTGGGTAACGATGTAGAAAGTGAATGAGTTTAATGCGCCTCAAATTCTTTCGTCATATGGACCAACAAATAAATAGTAATAACTCATACTAACAATAAAGTGAAATAATTGTTTATTAAATTACAGTTTCAAGAGTAAGTAGCCGATAAAATTTCAACACAAGATATCCTCCTATTTAAACGGTACGGTTTCGTTTACAGCTATCCATTTAAACGTTTACAAAATTCAGTAAAGGTTTCACCCTTAACTGGGTCCTATTCATATTGTGAAGAAATGTAGAACCCATCCAAATCCTGTTATTTTGGGCTCTTTTCTTACTCACCATGGGATGCTCATAATTCTTCTTTTTTTTTTTTTTTGGTAGAAGCTCTACTTTCAATCATTTGTTTATTTATTATGCTGTATTCTTCATAAAACAATATACAGTAGAACAAGGCAAACATTCTTTCAATTAATTCCTGCTTTTAGAGAAGTGATATCATGCCCTGTAGTTTTAAAACATGTTATGTATGGAACATAACAAATTCTTCCATGGCATTTCTTGATGATTGTGTTTTAGTCTTTTACTGTAGATAATTGTGTATTGAGAATCTGTTTTAAGCACTCTATATTTTGAAACTCATAATTTCTCTCACACAGTTCAAGTCTTGAGAGGTTTAGTACATAATACGTACTCTATTAAATCTGAAACTTAATTTAAAAAAATACAGTACTATGCATCTTGAAATTGATACTTACTACACAATTTTTATGTGGTATTCTGCAAATGCTCAAGTTTGACAATAAATTATATTTAAAAATGAGCTGCAAACTACCCACTGTTTAGACATTTAAAGCATATTTAGTACATACAGCTGACATATATGCAAGTTTGTAGCCTTTGCTTACTTGCTTGATAAAACCAAGAACTATAAAAAAACTTGAATTTATTGTGAATTTATCACCTATGACTCGTTGACAGGTTGGGGTGACGGTATAGACTGGATGACTTTTGAAGATGGATTAAAAGCAGCAAAGGAACAGTGAGTATATTTTTATTTACACGTCAAACAAAAAACTCATCAATTCAAAAATTCCTATTTATATGAACAGAAAAAAAATCAGCAATTCGTAAATTCTTATTTACACAAAGAGAAAAAAATCAGCAATTCGTAAATTCCTATTTACACAAATAAAAAAATCAGCAATTCGTAATTTCCTATTTACACAAACAAAAAAAATCAGCAATTTGTAATTTCCTATTTACACAAACAAAAAAAATCAGCAATTCGTAAATTCCTATTTACATAAAACAGAAAAAAAATCAACAATTCATAAATTCCTATTTACACAAACAGAAAAAAATCAGCAATTCATAAATTCTTATTTACACAAACAGAAAAAAATCAGCAATTCGTAAATTCCTATTTACACAAACAGAAAAAAATCAGCAATTCGTAAATTCCTATTTACACAAACAGAAAAAAATCAGCAATTCGTAAATTCCTATTTGCAAAAACAAAAAAATCAGCAATTCATAAATTCCTATTTACACAAACAGAAAAAAATCAGCAATTCGTAAATTCCTATTTACACAAACAAACAAAAATCAGCAATTCGTAAATTCCTATTTACACAAACAAAAAAATCAGCAATTCGTTAATTCCTATTTACACAAACAGGAAATATCAGCAATTTGTAAATTTCTATTTGGACTAACAGAAAATATGAGCAATTCGTAAATTTCTATTTGGACTAACAGAAAATATCAATGCAGTCTAGGACTTTGTGAACCTTAACATATAAATATCTGTACATGTATTTATATTATTACCCAGTTATATTCATTGTCAGAAATAAAATAATTATATTGATATTGTTGTTAGGCAGAAATGTTTTATGGATTTTTTTTTAAGTTCAATAATATATTTTTATTGATATACAGTCAAACTTCGTTATCTCGAACTCAGTGGGACCAAAAAAACCTTCGAGATATCCGAGAATTCGAGATATCGACCCTCAGGGTAAAATACTTAAAGAATAAGTAGTTAAGACTTCCAAATTACTTTGACATATCAATGGTATTCGAGGTATCGGTGTTCGAGATACCGAAGTTCAACTGTAAATATTTTTTATATATCTTTTCAAACTCAAAATGAAATTTAAGGAACAAGCCACTGATGTTGATCATACACAAGACGTGGTGTGGAGCGTGTAAAGGTAAACAAATTATTATCTATCAGTCAAAAAGATGTGGTGTGGAGCGTGTAAAGGTAAACAAGTTATTATCAATCAGTCAATTAGACGTGGTGTGGAGCGTGTAAAGGTAAACAAATTATTATCAATCAGTCAATTAGACGTGGTGTGGAGCGTGTAAAGGTAAACAAATTATTATCTATCAGTCAATTAGACGTGGCGTGGAGCGTGTAAAGGTAAACAAATTATTATCAATCAGTCAATTAGACGTGGCGTGGAGCGTGTAAAGGTAAACAAATTATTATCAATCAGTCAATTAGACGTGGCGTGGAGCGTGTAAAGGTAAACAAATTATTATCTATCAGTCAATAAGACGTGGCGTGGAGCGTGTAAAGGTAAACAAATTATTATCTATCAGTCAATAAGACGTGGCGTGGAGCGTGTAAAGGTAAACAAATTATTATCTATCAGTCAATAAGACGTGGCGTGGAGCGTGTAAAGGTAAACAAATTATTATCAATCAGTCAATAAGACGTGGCGTGGAGCGTGTAAAGGTAAACAAATTATTATCAATCAGTCAATTAGACGTGGTGTGGAGCGTGTAAAGGTAAACAAATTATTATCTATCAGTCAATAAGACGTGGTGTGGAGCGTGTAAAGGTAAACAAATTATTATCTATCAGTCAATAAGACGTGGTGTGGAGCGTGTAAAGGTAAACAAATTATTATCTATCAGTCAATTAGACGTGGTGTGGAGCGTGTAAAGGTAAACAAATTATTATCAATCAGTCAATTAGATGTGGTGTGGAGCGTGTAAAGGTAAACAAATTATTATCTATCAGTCAATTAGACGTGGTGTGGAGCGTGTAAAGGTAAACAAATTATTATCTATCAGTCAATTAGATGTGGTGTGGAGCGTGTAAAGGTAAACAAATTATTATCTATCAGTCAATTAGACGTGGTGTGGAGTGTGTAAAGGTAAACAAATTATCATCAATCAGTCAATTAGAAGTGGTGTGGAGCGTGTAAAGGTAAACAAATTATTATCAATCAGTCAATTTTTTCTTTAAATAACATTCTTTATTTGTTTTCCAAATGTTCACTCTGCTTTATTGTTTAGCCCTAATGCCTCAGTTTGCTGAATCTAAGGAAATAGAAGAACTTAGTAAAAACTTCATCATGGTCCACACAGAGGTCAGTCTGGAGTTATATCCATTATGTAGTACAAAATATCACAAAAATTCAAACACTCTAGGGTTAGTTCCCAAACAAAATCACAATAAACAAAGGATGAAAATGATTAAGCAATCAATCTGGAGTTAATTCCCTTTACACATATTATATAACAAATATACAAAAAGCATGAAAATGATCAAGAGTTTAATTTGGAGTAATTTCCCTTTATGCACACTAAGTCAGAATACAAAAAGTGTGTAAATGATACAATCTTTCACCAGAGGGCTCGCTACACAAGCTTCACTTACATTCCTTGTTATTTTAGATTTCCAAAGTAGTCCCTACATCACATATAGGAGGCATAGAAATTTAAGCAAAATAGTTGCATACAAAAAATACAGATGTTTTAGTGTATATTCTCAAAATGAAGAAGGGTAAAAAGCTGAATTAGGAAAAGAATCTTCATTCCTTTTGTGCACCCATAATCCAAAGCATGAAAATGATAGAGTTCAGTATGGAGTTATTTCCCTTTATACACTCTACATCACAAAATGAAAAGCACAAAAATGATACAGCATTCAGTCTGGAGTTATTTCCCCTTACGCACTCTATATCACAATACAAAAAGCACAAAAATACCGGTAATAGAGAGTTCAGTCTGGAGTTATTTCCCTTTACGCACTCTATATCACAATACAAAAAGCACAAAAATACTGGTAATAGAGAGTTCAGTCTGGAGTTTTAAGCACTCAAAGGAACAAATGATTAAGAGAAGAGTATTTTCTGCGTGTTTTAGGATGATGAGGAACCTAAAGGGGAGCAGTATTTACCAGACGGCGGTTATATACCACGGATATTATTCTTAGGTAATGAATCCAACAAAAATGTTATTTCTAGTTATAAACGCAGTATATTTTCTACCAAAACAGCTATTAAACCTTATTATTGAGGCAAAAAGTAACAATTATGTGTAAATTTTCTCGGACTTCTCCGCTGATTAATCATTTCAGATCCTGAGGGAAACGTTAGGAAAGACTTTTACAATGTAGGCGGCCATGATGAATATAAATACTACTACTACTCTCCAGACCTCAGTAAGTTGTCATTTATTGGTGTTTTTTTAACAAGGCCGAGTCTAATTCGAGTGTGCATGACTGCGCAGCTTTTTAATTTCATGCAGCCGTATATGCGACATTACACCTTTCCCAATTATTGTGATTTTAAGACAAAATTAACATTATCTGTAATGCCTATGGGTCTGAAAATGTACTTTTCCAACAATAATTACAAAAAATGCTGAAATGGCTCTAACGACATCACTGTTTTCTGATTTTGTTAGCAATGCATGAAGCTGAAGAATAACGCATGACTCACTTGTATATTCAAGACGTCCATGGATATTTTACTAAAAACTGATGACAGAACATCAAAAGAAACATACAATCAATATAAACATTGTTATTTTTTACCAAAATAACTCATCTGCGCCGATAATTCATCTGCATCAATAAATATGTATCCCGCAATATGGCAATTTTCGAGGTATTGGGCATTGAAAAAACAAACTTTGTAATAATTTCTAGACCAACCTAGATGGTCAACTTTTTTGAAATTTCACAGTTTGGTGACATTTTACAATATTTTTCATGTACTTGACTGAAAAAGAAATCTCTAGGGCAGAAATACAAAAAATATGAAAAAAAGTGATAATTTTGCGCTTTTCCAACAAATTCCCATAGGCTCCAATAGTAAAATTTGACAACTTTTGAGATGGTTTCCTTGAGAAATCGGGATGGTAAACATTCAATTTTTCAATCTTAAAACATTAAATATTATAGTAAAAATTAATTCAAGAAAATTTATCAAAATCACTAGGGTAGAAATAATTAGACTCGGCCTCATCAAAAGGAAGAAATTTTCCTTTAGGTTATACATGTTAGCTGTCAAGTTCAGGTTTCACATTCTTTGGCCAGATTAGGAATCAAAATGGAGGTATGGATTAATGATGCCTGCCTGCCTGCCTGTCTGTCTGTCTGTCTGTCGTCTACATTAACAATAATTTGTGTTGTTGGTTTTAACTCTAGTGGGTCATAATGTAATATAATTGTGGATGACATATTTCAAATGCTGCTGTTGGAACTGTCCTTGGTCTTGACTAATGATGCACAATTATTTATGTCGAGAATGTCCTATTCTGATCAGATCTTGTTCAAACTCAATAATTCAATAATAAAGGCCTGGCCACTCTTTCTCTCTCTCTCTCTAAATGCAAACCCACAGGTGTTGCCCTCCCCAAATATGAATGAAAAAAATCAGTATTTGTATCAGTAACAGATTTACTGGATTATAAATACCCCTGACTTCTATTTCAGCTCTTTAATTATTGATTTATGGATATTTATGCATGGAACTGCAACTTATAATTTTCCATATGAATAATCATGTGTATAAAATTCATGAAGTATATAAATATTTAGAATGTGTTTTTATGTTGGGGGTACATAAGGTATGTAAATGAATGGGTAGCTCTGTGGGAGTGGACCAGAGCAATCTGATTCTTTAATCCCCATGACAGATAAATGAGGGGAACCTCTTGATCCTTCTTCCCCATACAGCCATGTTTATTGTCTCGTCACTGAGTAGTAGATCGTTTTCAAATAAAAATCAAAGCAACTCTATTGACTCAAGATGGTTTAATGCCGTTACTTTTAATCATTGATTTCTTAATGCATTGTGTATTCCTTTTGATATTGACACAGATATACAAACCTCTCAGCTTGTAAACTCTTTTAATATAGACTTACAAAGTTGGGTCATGTTTGAATTTTTATTGAAGTGGTAAGAATGCCGTTATATTTGGTATTTTGAGCTCTCTGATCGTGGACGTATGATTGCAGCTTATGATTAATGACAGTAAAGCATCTTAGTTCCTATTCTCTTGATGAATTTCTATAAATCCTCCACCGTGAATGACATGAATTACCTGAATCATTCTTTCTGTAATGATTGCTTTATTGTCCCCAATAAATTCTCCCTTTTACTTGCAGCTCTTGAATACAAATTTTATTGATATTCGCCTGTTGGAGTAAAGTATCCATGCAATTAATTATAAACAACTTTCTTATCAACCCGAAATGAAAAATGTTTAGCACCATTATAAAGCAGCCAGCGATGATAAATCTTTATTATTTCCCTGTTATAGGATTTTCAAGCACAGTTATCTTACAACCTCGATAAAAATGTTTGCAACTTATGTATACAAAAGCAAATCTTCTTGTATATTTATAATATTGAATACTTTGCTGACAGAAAAACAGTGATGAAGCATCTTACACTATCCCATTCATTCAAATTATCATTCCAATGCAATTTTAAATTAGATTTCTTTCCATTCTTTTTACTCTCTTTTTTATATATATCGATATTTTGAAAAATTAAATATTTGTGTTAGTTATTATTGCATTTTGATTTCAGTTTAAACCTTTGGATTTATAATTTTTAAAATATATACATCTATGCATACATACAAATGTGTATAAATACAATATGATACTATCTGTAATTTTTTTCAGTTGTGCCCACTATGAAGCGAGTTATGGAGAATATTCACAGTCCCCCAGTGGAGGAGAAGACCTCCACCATGTCTGACGAGTTGTGACAGATTGCCCTCGGACTTGCAGCTCTTGGGATATTCTTTCTTTTATATTTTTTATTCACTCTACACAAAAAATATGCAATTAGCTATTAGTGTAACTTCTTACACACTGTGATCTCAGTTTACTCATCAGGATGTAAGCGATGAAGGGTGGATCTTAAGTATTTTTTTGTGTGTGCTTGTTTATTTTTATTCCTGGAAGTAACAGGGTTGATTTTGCATTTATAATTTGGTTACTCCCTCACTCAAATTGTACAGATAACGATTTGCATGGATTTAAAGCTTTAAGAACATATCTGAGACATTAATATTGTTTGTTTTACATGTATTTATCGTAGGCATCTTTTTCTCTATACTTAATTCAAGTGCCATTCCATGTGAATATGTACATGTTTGCTTTACATCATTAGATTATGGGTTAGTATGTCTGGGTGAGTTGATGTACTTAGGGGTTTTGAAATTTTTTTTCTGAAGTCTGAACTATTATCGTAATGTAGTGCTGGAAATGAACAAATCTTACATTAAATTTTATGAAAGATACATTTTTCTGTTGCCTTGTCAGTACGAAAAAAAGTATCAATGCAGTTCTTGCTCCTGGTACATAAATATTTATTTATTTTAATTATTCACACTTCCATTGCACTAAAGAGTAATATTTTATGAGGATGGTCACTCAAAATATGTAGCAAACACAGTAGCTATAGCATATAATTTGCCCTTACTGAAGTGGGCTTGAGCAAAGTTATCAGTGTCACTGTTCCACAAGCACCTGCTGGTCATTATCAGTGCCTGGTTAGCGTTTTCACCTATTAATACATTGCACACTAACTTGTATCTAGGGAAACCCAAGTCTTTAACACGTGACTTGATGACGTCAGAGAGATTTTGAGCTAAATTTGCACACATTTTGTGTTCATACACCTCACCATCCAAGTAGGATTCGAGCACACCTTTCATCATTTTCTCCACCGAGCTGGGGTTAAATTTTTCCTTAGACTCCGGCTGCATCCGGTACGTGTTTTGGAGTCGGACGGGGATGACGTTATGTTTAGTTCCTTGGGAGGTCCAGGATACACTGGTCCGGCGGGAAGCTTGGGACGGGCGTCTACCCGCCAGTCCGTACTGTACGCTAGCCCGGGGTTCGATCCGGGACATCCGCCGAAAGTTAGGCCCAGTGAGGCCCTGGGTGGTGCTCTCCGATCCCTCAGGCTTGATTGAGGACCGTCGCCGCTGACGGGGAATGTTGTCTTGATGGTGTTGTTCTAGTGTCTCCATTGTTAATTGATCGGTCATGTCGTTGTTGGGAAATCTGAAAATAAAAATCTGGTCAAATTATAAATATTTATACTTTAGACGCCATCCTGAAGTATATATACAGATAGGGTTGGCATAAATAAGTCTCTCAGCATTGACAAACTATACAGTATTCTCACTATACGGGTGAGTGAAATCAAGGCTGTCGGTATGGGGATGCGTTGGGTGCGATTGCACACCCTTAAAATAAACACCCGAAAATATTCTTTTTTAAACAAAATTAATTCCTTTTTGGAATGACGATAGGTTTTGTTTATTTAATATGTGGGAAAAAATATTTCACGAATGCACCAGAATCCAAAATGGGTTCTAATTCTTAAAAAAAAAATGGTTTAGAGGCGGGGATCCCAACCCGGCTGCACCCCTCTTTCCAGTCATGGCGATTGCCCTAGAAATTCTACCGAAAGTACAAGGTAAAAAAGCAACCTACACATGGAAAAAAAATGATTAGTTTTAAAAGACTTTTCCTGATTCGCTAGACTTGTACTTGACGGGATGAAATGTCAGAATATGTCAACACGTGTCGTTTCCATGATAAATGCCGTGTTGATAAGACACTTGTAGCTAGGTTAGACTCTATTGAAACTGACGTCTTGGATTTTTGTGAATTATGTAATGCAATATTGAACTTTTGTATTTATTGCCTCTATCTATCTCTATATACGTGTAATTACTTACAACGCTTCACGGAATTTATTGCCACCAAAGACAGAAATCCCCGGTAAAAGTTTCAAGGAACACATAATCCACTCTTAAGAAACAGAACGCTCCGTATTACATATACCATGTTATTGCAAATTGTTTGAAAATGTAATAATTCTACCCGTGACGTAAGAGTATGTGTCAATACAGTGAAACTTGTCTAACCCGGATGTTGTGTATTCCGAAATCTTGTCTAATACGATCTAAACTTGAAGTCCCTTTCAGTAAATTTCATTGTCGAATTCGGAATGTTGTTTTCCGAAGTAGGTCAAATTCTAAGGTTATTGGGTCAAAAATGTTGGTATTCAAAATTTATAGGCAATGTGAAAGTTTTTAAAAAGTACGTAAGAGTTCAAGGTCACGAGGATAAAATATTGATACCCAAAGAAAGGTCTTGCCATAAATATACAAGTGAACATTAGCACCAACCGTTTAAAATTTACGGCCAAACTTAAAAGTTTACAAAAGTAGGCCAAACTCCAAGGTGAAGAGTTCAAAATTATCGATACCCAAAGAAAAGTATTGTCACAAGGATACACAAGTGAAATTTGAATGTCCTAGCATCAACCATTCAAAAGCGATGGTCAAGGTTAAAGTTGGGTAAAGTTTCTCAAAAGTAGGTCAAACTCCAAGGTCAAGAGGCCAAAGATGTCAGTACCCCCCCCCCCCAAAAAAAGGTCTTGTCACAAGGTATACACCTGTGAAAAATAAAAGCTCCAGTACCAACTGTTCAAAAGTTAGGTGCAAGCTTCAAGTTTTTACGGACAAACAGACAGACGGACGGATCAAAAAATATCCCCCCCCCCGAATCTTCGATTTGGGGGCATAAAAAGAGCTGAACTTCAATGAATTTAATTGTGTACATTTATATAGCATTTTCTTCATTCAAAAGAGCAAACAGTCCCACGTCATTTTGTTTGTCAGCAACAATCTGAAATTCCAAATTATCAGTGAAAATGCAATTTAACACACGTAGAAAATTTACGTATACGTTGTGTCTGCAATGCATATCACATGTCCTTCTCTTTTGACTGTCGTCGCCTAGAAATTCACAGATCAAAGTATGATCAGTATTTTTCAAACTTTTAAATTATGCATACCCCGGGCCGTCAGCGAGTAGAAATCTAATTTAAAATGTTTAATCAAAGTGTTTCTAGGAAGCTCCCTTCCGTGTTTAATGAATTCTTATTCTGTGAGATTACACCAAACCATTTACTTCAAATACGGGTTCAAATCACTTAACTGTTATCCTCCCAATCCATACTACTTTCTTCCTCGGATTATTTCTATTTAAGGTCCGTGAACCGTCTTTGGAGTCTATGTAATTTCGTCTTAATGTCTAATATCGACCTTCGGAGACAGAACACAGTTTTATCGCGATCTTTGACATGAAAAAAGAAAAAAAATCCATAAGTCGATAAAAGCTAACTGGATATAATTCTCAAGTCTTTTCAATGAACCGCTTCCTAACAGAATAATTCCACTGGAATCGATCAAGACAGTTCTGGAATTTCAAGCAAGATTCTATATACATTGGTTTTACATGTAACACATTTAATAAATTAGAGTTAATATAACTTGTATAATCAGCGCGCACCTGCCAGAGCGGTGTATTTTATATTGATACCTATAGACAGGTCATCTATGTATGGCAGGTGAGGGCTGGTTCAGGGGTCTCGTCTATTTCTCGGATACAGACAGTTATTAGAACTCCGCAGATCGTAAACAACACCCGACATTAATTTGATCGCTATCTGCTGTTTGACAAGGTGTCCTTTAAAGATAACAAATATGTACAGAGAGCTTCCTTCAATTAAAGTATAGGTTCCTGGGATCAAATAATTATGTCGAAAATTTGAGAAACAAGTAGTTTTTTATTGAGAAAATATTTGCAGTTCCGAGAGTGAACAGACACATTTAACTGTAAAATTCGCAACTCATACCAAACAGATTTTTTTCGAAAAGCAGTTGTACCAATTTCTGATGAGAACGTTTTCAGATTCCAAATATTTTGAAGATTCTTAAATAAGATAGACGTAAAATTTGTCATTTAATTTTGTAAGTTTCTATAAGTTATTGATTTCCCATTTAGAATTTTGATAATAAAAGTGAATTGCTACAAATGACAATAATTGTGTGTCGCTTACCTGTTAGAATTTACAACATGTTTCTGTGTATGGCATCCACTGACGACTACAGCCGTGTATTGAGTGGTTACAAAGGCGGGGCGAGGTCCCTTTAAAGGCACAACAGTCGCTCTCACAACAGGGCAACACTGTAATATATTCTCAGTCAGTGTAATCTATTCAGGATTGAAGATGGAAAGAAACACGACCATTTTTAAATTTCAAATGTCTCTGTGCTTTCATTTTTAGTGATGCATTAGATTTGGTCAATCAGATATTGAAAAGTAAAGAAGTACAATTTCTTCTGTATAATATATATATATATATATATATATATATATATATATATATATATATATATATATATATATATATATATATATATATATATATATATACACACACACACCCACTAACCCCACACCCACAAAACAAAAAATTTAAAAAAAAATAAATAAATAAAAAGAAAAAGAAAATTCTTCGCCTTTTTCCTTTAATAGCAGAAAAATGTGGTATATTATCTCCTAATAGTTTTTTCAGATATACTGAAATTATGCACAAAAACAATTACCAGGCGTTGTATACACCATTAGACATTAGTTTCGCTTGAAATCCCCCTCCCCCCTTAAACTTTCAAACCCGAGAGAGAGAGAGAGAGAGAGAAATTAATGATCGATAGCTGATAATTATTTAATTTTTAAATTTTTGACCTTTCTTATTTTATTTGTGCATGTGTGAAAGGTATAGTTTAAAATTAAACAAGGATAATTGTATGGTTGTAATATAAAGACTCATTTGTACCTTGGGATCCCTTACATTAAATTATGATCTTCCGACTTAGAAATGTTTTTTTTTTAAATAAAGAAAGAAAACTGGATCGATCCCGGGTCAGTTTTGAATTAATGCATTTACTTAATCCATAATCTCTACAGAGGTATATCATATTTCGTATTTTAAGTATAAATTAGCAATTCAAACAAACGGAATCTAGGTTTATGTACGCGGTTTCTACAATCTCCTGTGATCCAAAAATGTATCTTCTTTGTAAAAATATGTCAAAGAACAAGAACCTGCAATTAATTCAGCTGACGATATATCTTACCACTTGGTTGTCTGTTTACGAGGAATTTCAAATAATAAAAACGGCGCATTTTTAATGAAGTATCCGTGCCATACAAAGCCCTGTATTGACACAAGGTTATAAGCAAGATTAAATTGGATTTCTCCAATATCGATTGAGCAAATAGATTCATTGGCAAGCTTTGCATACATCTGCATTTACAACTGCAGTATTTAAAAGACAATTGGTTCATCACATGTAGTAATGGTTATACACCGGGAGAGAACTCACTCATAACATACGTCAATCCTGCGTCAATAATAACACAATATCAATATTGAAAAAAAACTTCTCCGCTTTACCCTGCCAGCTACAAGGAGACATCAGGAAATCAATAATAACACAATATCAATATTGAAAAAAAACTTCTCCGCTTTACCCTGCCAGCTACAAGGAGACATCAGGAAATATCTCCTTATAACTGCTTGTAACAGGGTCACTAGTATGTGTGAGCGCATGTGTGATGCTGTGGTGGTAAAGGGTAAAGTGTGTGTGTAGGTGGGGGGGGGGGGGGGTTAAACTTGTATGATAAATTGCAAACATTTTAAGTGGTAATGCTATGGTGAACTCATATGTGAGTTTTTTTTCTTATTATAACATGTATATAGCATATGGAAGATTTAACGAAACTTAGAATCTGGCCACAACGAAATGATCTAAGGATTGTTCTTTATTACTTTCATTGGCTCGCAGCTGCTAACATCCATGCTCAAACTTCTAGAAATAACCTGAACTACTTGCCTACGTTTGTATAATGTAATATTAGAAACGTTTACATATCGTTTGATTAATTTTACTTTAATGTACGCGCTCGATTTTTATTTCTTTTGTAAACTCCAGTAAGTGAAGTATTTTATCCCTCCCCACTAGTAACAAGCACCTGCACATGTTTGGGTGAAGATGGTTAATATTTTGTAAAGCTTCTAGAGATTTTGTCTAGAGGTTCTAGAGATTTTGCCGATAGAGCTTCTAGAGATTTTGTGTATAGTTTCTAGAGATTTTGTGTATGGCTTCTAGAGGTTTTCTGCAAAGCTTCTAGAAGTTTTGTGCAAAGCTTCTAGATATTTTATGTATAACTTCCACTGCAGAGATTATGTGAATAGCTCTTAAAGATTTTGTGTTATAGCTTCTAGCGATTTTGTGTATATCACCTAGATATTTTTTCTATAAGATTTTGCTTATAATTTTTAAATTTTTTGGTAAACTTCAAGAGATTTTTTGAATAGTTTCTGGAGATTTTTCGTACAGCTTCCAAAAATTTGCTTATAGTTCCAAGAAATTTTGTGTATAGTTCCCAAAGATTATATGTATAGTTTCTAAGGATTTTGTGCATAGCTCTTAGATATTTGTTTTAGCTTCTAAAGATTTTGTTTAAACGTTAGAGATTTTTGGATAGTCTCTAGAGATTTTATATATCGCTTCTAGAGATTTTGTGTGTAATTTTTAGAGATTTTGTGTATAGCTCCTACAGAAATTTTGTGTATAGCAGGCCCGTAGGAAGCAATTTCACTTTGAGGTGACACTATCAAATACCAAAATTCCTTGACAGGCTAAATTATTGGGGGGCAACCCACCCACCCCCCTCGGTTCCTACGACCATGCATAGTTTCTAGAGATTATGTGTATAATTCTTTGAGATTTTTTGTATAGCTTCTAGAGATTTTTATATAGCTTCTAGAGATTTTTTCTTTTGCCTCCATGCAGAGGTTTTCAGTATTGTTTCTAGAGAGTTTGTGTTAAGCTCCTAGAGTTTTTTGAATAACTTTGAAAGATTTTGTGTATAGTTCGTAGAGATTTTATGTATGACTTCCAGAAAATTTTTTGTAAAGTGTTGGTTTTAGCTTCTAGAGATTTTTTGCATATAGCTTCTGAAGATTATGTGTATAGCTTCTAGATTTTGTGTATAATTCTGGAGATTTTGTATACAGCTTCTACAGGGATTTTGTATATAGCTTCTGGTTAGTTTGTGTATACACAGCATCTATATATTATGTATACTTTCTAAAGTTATTTTTGTTTAGCTCTTAGGGATTTAGGTATATAGCTACATGTGCTAGAGATTTTGTGAATAGCTTCTACAGACGTTTTATATAGCCTGCAGGGATTGTGTTTATATAAAATGTAAAGAGTTTTTATGAATAGCTTTCAGAGATGTTGTGTATAATTCCTAGAGATTTTGTGAATTGCTTTAGTGTATATCTACTAGAGATTTCATGTACAGCTCCTAGAGATCTGTGTATAGCTTCCAAAGATTTTGTTTATAGATTCTACAGATTTTGTGTATAGCTTCCAGTTACTTTATGTATAGTTTTCAGAGAATTTGAGTATAGCTTCTAGAGAATATTTGTGTAGAGATCCTAGAGATAATTTATGGAGTCCAGAAATTTTGTGTATAGCCTATAGAGATTCTGTGTATGGCTCCTACTGTGACGGATCCAGGATTCTTTAAACATAGACATGCTGTGAGCCATTATAGACACTATATTGAATGGGAGGAGCTCAATACCATAGATTGCTATGACATTAATGTATTTATACATTTTATTATTTGTTATTATAATTTTTCAGGGCATTTCCAATTTTCATTTCATTGCCAACATTTATGATTTGTTAATCTGCGAAAAAATAGAGATATCGAACCTATGTCAGACCACAGGGGCTTGCTCCAGGCGTGTAATAATTATCTATTTAAAAAAAATCGTATACGGTAATACTAAAACTGTTTTAGTATTACCGTATACGATTTTTTTAAATAAATAATTATTACACGCCGGGAGCAAGCCCCTGTGGTCAGACTTATAATTTCTGATTTCAACATTAAGCCTATTACATATCTACGATGGTTTTTTTTTTATTCCTTATAGATGAATTTGCCTAGTTAGAAGGCCATTTCTGTCATTTTTTGCCCCACAAGCTACGCTGAAATTATTTGCATTTTAATTAAAAATTAGTTCTCAAATTCAATAGATTTTAAAATTATGTTATTTATGCTTCTGATACATGAAAAGAGAATCCCCCACCCATTTAAAAAACTACAAACATACAAGGTTTGGAATTTATTTTTTTACTCTTTAAAAAAAATTGAGCTGTTCGGGGAAATATAGCGCTTCGTGAAAATTTACTTATTTATCTAGAAATTGTTATTATCCGGTTGCATTTTTACAACAACAACTACCGTCCCGAATCGGATAGATGAGTATGCTCTCTGTAAAGTAGTGATGAGTAGATATTCATGCTCATAAATTGTCATAAATAGGCCTACTCGTCATTCTCAAAAAGGAAGAGATAAGAAAACAAAAGGTAAGCAATGTGTACAGACTGTCAGCTGGTTGTCTGTCGTTGATTTGAAGCGCAACTCGTATGAAGGTACATGTAGCAGTTTCAATAGACGGACTTGTCAGTTGTATGGGGTGGTCAAACGGACCTCTGTCTTTTCTCTTTTTTTTTATCTTCTTTTGTTTATACCGAATGTGCTGGAAATGGGATAACATAAGGACAGACCTGTCCCTGCGTTTTTTATGATATTTGTTCAGGTCTAGGAAAATCACTATATTTAGCTATATAGCTAAATCTACCTATATAGCTTTATTTATCTATATAATATAGCTTTATTTAGCTATTTCAGAGTAAATTTCTGTTTTATGAAAAGCAGACAAAAAGTCGCATAATGAGGCAGTATTAGTTTTCAACTTTGAAATGGACTGAAAACAATTCACCAAAAACCCACTTTTAAAAATGTTTCTCCTTTTGTGCAATTGCAATCAAAGATCTAAAAGTTTTGGGGCTATGTATAACAGTTAATCTGTGAATAAGCAGCTACTTTAACAAAGAAAAGCAGTTTTGGTCAACAAGATAATTGATTGGTAATAATTCAGCACAATGCAAGGCAATCACACTTAGTCATACCTCATCGCATTTCCAGTAATGGACAGCTATCCAAACAATAGAGATGCATTTTTTGGTTAAAAAGTGTTTAAAAGAGGCAATGTTTTTACTATCTATGCCCTAGATTGTTTTTATCAAACCTTTTTAAAAAAATATCAGCCATAATTTTCATGCGACTTTTTGTTTGCTTTTCATAAAACAGAAACTTATTCTAAAATAGCTAAATAAAGCTATATTATATAGGTAAATAAAGCTATATAGGTAAATTAAGCTATATAGCTAAATATAGTGATTTTCCTGGACCTGTTGTTGTACTTTTGTATTGCGATTTCCTATATATATATGGGGGGGGGGGGGGGGTCCTGTCCGCATGTAAATGTGAGGTAATGTATATTCAAGTTTGTTCAAATCATGACCACCCAGGTTATGGAGGGGCCACAATGGGCAATCAAAGTTTTAGTAGGACAACACATGAAAACATTGGAAAAGTCTTTTTCTCAAAAACAGCAAAGCCTGATGTTCATTCATATTTATATGCCTTTTTGCCTATCCAAGTGTGCCCTGGATATAAATCTAATCTTAAAATTTACTTTTTTTCTTTTTGATTAACTTCAATGATTTCGATGTAAATTAGATTTTAAGCTGATAATTCCAAATATATTGTATTAAACAAATTTTCACAAATTTATGAAGTGGAGAAGATTTTATGACCTAATGGCCAGAATACAAATCTTTTGTAGTTCTGCCTTTTTTAGGTGGTTGATGGTTTTGGGTTAATCTGATTCCCCGAGCTAATTGTTTTGCGACATCTGTGCTAAATGTATGATGGTAAAACTTGTATGCTGAAATATATCTTAATAGACATGTTTACATTTCAGTGGGGGATTTCTCCGTAAATTAAGACATGAAGGGACACTGACCAAGTCTAATCCACAGAGAATGAATGACATGTTTTACGAACAAACTCCAGAGCTACATACAGCAGTACAGACAAACAATACTGACAGACTACTACAGCTGGTACAGGCTGGACACAGTGTCAACAGTGAGGGTGTGGACCTGGTCAGACCGCTACATGAGGCCTGTTTCAGAGGTCATGTTGACTGTGTGAAAATTCTTCTGGACAATGATGCAGAGGTAAATAACTGAAAAATAATTGTTATTTTTGCACTTGCATAAACTGAATTAAGCATTTATAAGTGTAATACCTGGCAGGTACTCACTTTGGAACATGCAATGGCATTACATGATAGGTAATAACATATGTACAGTGTGTATCAGTATGACTTCTAAGGTAAATGTTACTAACATACCGTATATACTCACCTATAAGTCGGTCCGCCTATAAGTCGGTTGCATTTTTTAAGCTTATATTAGAGGGATTGACCCTCTAAAATACCAATCATTTTATGACTCGCCTATAAGTCGGACACAGAGTTTTGGACCAAAGTTTAACCCCCAAAAAACCGACTTATAGGCGAGTATATACAGTAGATACCGTGGTATGTTTCTGTATTTTCAGGTAAATATAATCTGATAGGTACTAACTTACTTAGAGTTGTACATGTATGTGTACGACTTTTAAGGTAAATATTACCTGGCAGGTACTTATATAGGTACAGTAGTATGTGTGAAATTGAAAATGGTTAAGATAATGAACAATGAATGGTCACATAAAAACCCACAAACAATACAAATTTGTAAACAAGTCATAAAACACGGATCCCTGGAAATTCCAGAGGTGGGATCAGGTGCCTAGGTGGAGTAAACATCCTATCAATTGGTCATATCTGCTGTGAGCCATATGTATTGATGAGGTAAATGGAATGTTTCATAGTAAAATTAAGTATTAAAACAAAAGACCTAACAATTGGAATGAAATATGTCAGTCAAAATATGACCCAATAATAGGTAATATTTGTGAACAAAGTCATTATTATGACCTTAGAATTTAGGAAATGCTGTCTATAAACAATGCTGTTGAAATCTTATCTGTTAAGGTAAATATTACCTGGCAGGTACTAACTTAAGTACAGTAGTACATGTTACTGTATGACTTTTCAGGTAAATGTAAGGAACATTGATGGAGCTACCCCTCTCTGTGATGCTGCCAGCAGTGGTCATGTAGACATTGTCAGGATTTTGTTACAGCGGGGGGCATATGTTAATCCTCCTCTTCTATTAACTTCTCCTCTGCATGAAGCAACTCTCAGAGGTAAACTAAACTTTAAGAGATCTGTTATATTCTCATTTAGAGTCACCATTGATGGAAAAGGATTTCGTATTAATTTTACCAATTATCAATTCAGAATGATTATTTAGGTCTGACTCAATACATATTTAGTGTAATTCTGCAATTTCTTTAAACATATTGTGTATATGCCATTGAGTCACAGAGTAAGGAGTTGATTTTTATGTTGTGTGTTCGAATTCCACTGTGTGACATGGAGACCAGGTCATTGAATAAGATAGTATAAATCCTCAGGTAGAGCAGATTAAAATTTGTTCAAATCATGACCCCCGGGGCTAGGGTGAGGCAACAATGTGCTATCTTGGGTTTTACTTATGAATGTATAGGAAAAAAAATCTTTAAAATCTTTTTCTCAAGAACAGAAAGGCCAAGTTTAGTCATATTGATATGAAAGTATCTTCAGGTAGTGTAGATTCAAGTTTGTTCAAATTATGACCTTGAGGGGTAGGGTAGGGCTACATCTGTAAAATCATGATTTCTGGGGGTAGCAAGGGTGGGGTCTCAACAGGGACCACAGTTTTTCATAGGAATATATAATAGAATGAATCTGCTGATGAAGAGCAGCAGGGCCATATTGACTCAGGTGAGCGTTGTGGCCTATGGGCCTCTTGTTCAATTTTATGTGGACTTGATACATGACATGAATAATATTTTGTTTTTTCATTGAGATAAATGGGAAACAGTGGAGGTGTTGGCAGCAGCCGGAGCCAATCTGAACTCCTCTGACTGTCACTTCGGAACTCCTCTCCATGTAGCAGCTTGTCAAGGCAGTCTAACATGTGCCCAAGCTTTGCTACGAGCAGGTCAGCAACTTTTTTCACATACACAGAAATTCAGCTTTACCTGCACAGTGATTCATTTTGGTGTGCGTCCTGCGTAAATTACGCACAAAATTTGCCTAGGACGCATTATTTCAATAAATGTGCATCCCAAAGGACGCAATAAATTTATAGAAGGACATGTACTATTTTAAATTATTTCAGTATAATCTGATTCAAAACTTGACAGATTGCATCATATCCACGTGCTAAATGATATGCATGAACGATTTTAACAGGTAAAAGGTTGCCAACAACAGGTCAGATTTCACAACTCAAGTTAAAAGCAATTATCAGAAAATATTTGAAAGTTAGATAGCATAGTTCGATTATCACTGGTTATGTCTATACCGTGGAACGTTTCTGAAGCGAATGCTATACCTTTGTATTTAAGCTGTAACCTGTATCATTATTTTTTTTTTCTTTTCATTTTTTCCTTAAGGACAGACGATACATTCCTCAAAAATATATGATTTTGTCTAAGATTTTGTCATTGAAGTATTGCTACTTTAACATGTTTACTCGCAAAAAATTGAAGTACCTTACCAGGCATTTGTGCAAGATACCAGAGTATGTTTTTCCTATAAAATCCTTTTGGAAAAAACTTAATTAACCAATAACACATTTTTTAGTGTTTCAGTTTTTTAAACACAATTAGAAACAAGTTTAGAAATCAGAAGGTAATTAAAATTTAGAATATTTTCCACATAATTCGAAGGTATACAGAACAGATATTTAAGGAACGTATCGTCTGACCTTAAAAGCTAAGAAGTATAAAATTTAATCATTTTTATTTCTGACTATTTGTCATTTCTTCTTAAACTTTTTTTTACTTCATTCTGCTTCTGTGCATTTTATGACTGGTACAATGTGTGAGATCATATGTATGATCTAAAAATAGAACCAAAGTGCACAATGGACAATATATTATTTTTATGACACAAAATCATGTACTCTTACTTGGACAATTGATAGTAAAAGTATAAATCACTCACAGCTACAATAAAACATTTGCACTTTTTTTATTTCACCAGAATTTCCTCTGTAACATCTAATATACAGTACCCTTGGATTTGGACGCATTGATTTTGGCACGGGACTCATTGTTGTCATTAAGAGGGGTCCTTTGGACCCATGATAACCATTTTCAAAATGAATCACTGCTTGCATAATTTTACTTTTATATTAATTAAGGACCTGTTTTACAGTTTATGTTCCAGCTTGTTTTACATTCTTTATTTAGGAGCCTGTGTGAATTCTATTAAGAGCCTTAACACCCCTCTCCATGAGGCGGCCAGGAGACAGGACCTACCCCTTATACTCCTCCTACTGGCTCATGGAGCAAATGTAACAATGAGAAACAACAATGGACTACGGCCTATTGATCTGGTCCCAAGCTCTACTCACCCTGCTAAACAAGTCCTACTGCAATGGGAATGTAAGTACGTATGTAGTACCTACCAACACAAGCCTAAACACGTCCTGTAAAGCAGTGGGAATGTAAGTATATATTTAGTAGCTACCAACACAAGCCTAAACAAGTCCTATAGCAGTAGGAATGTAGGTATATATGTAGTACCTACCAACACAAGCCTAAGTGAGTCCTACTGCAGTGGGAATGTAAGTATACTGTAAACCAACTTTTATTCGTGTGCGAGAAATATTCGTGAGTTTAGCGACCTACATTAACTCGCGAATATTTATCGCCGCGAACCATTTATTTTGCTTTGTATTTGTAGAGAATGTTTCTTCAGTTGCGAAAATTAATCATCGCGGATTGATTTCAAACCGATGAATCGCGAATAAAAGTTGACGTGAATAATAGTTGGTTTACAGTATATGTAGTACCTACCAACACAAGTCTAGACAAGCCCTATAGCAGTAGGAATGTAAGTATATATGTAGTACCTACCAACACAAGCCAATACAAGTCCTAAAGCAGCTGGAGTATAAATATTACCAACCAATTCCTGCAGCATTGGGAAAGAATTGATAATAGAACTTGCCTAAATAAGTTTTAAAGGATTTGGAAAATTAGTTTTGTTTTCTTTACCAAATTTTCCTTGAATGGGAAAGCAAGTGCACATGTGTTAAGCATATTGCTTACAGTCACAAATCTTGCTGCATTTTGTGAGCAAACAATATTTACTGCAGCGGGATAGAATATAACTGCGGAAACAGTCCTTACATGCAGGTCATTGGTATATACTTATAGGGCACCTGTTGCACATTCTAATTCAAATTTTCCATTTTCTGATTTGATCTTAATCTCTTAGTTGATAGTGGAGCTGCTACAGACATCTATTTTAAGATCAGTATCACCAGTATTCAAGTTTTAACAAGAATGTAATATTCAGATGAAAAGGAATTTATGTGTTTTTTAAATGTATATATTTACAGTAATTGCTTTAAGCATGGCCCATGCCAGATGCAATGTGGATTAATAAGACTAAAGTAGGACTATTCTAACTTGACTGATCTCATCTTCAAGGATACACAGAATGGAACATGGTTATAAAACAGCCCAGTAAAATTAAACAAAATAAGTTTTTATTCTGAATAGGAGTTACTCCCCTTGTACTGGCTTGAACTGGTTTACTTGGGCATAATATAATATATATAATCGTATTTTTAGGACCCTGAAATTTTAGTAAAGCTATTTACTAGATTGATTGTTTTGACTAGTACATGTACATGTATTAATTTAATCTTTCTTCTTTTTACAAATTGCTCCCACAAGTCCATCCTTTAGTTTATCATCTTTAGACACAAATTATTTTCATGTATCAAGTTTGATTTGAGGTTCATTTCAGTATTTTCTTTTTGCTTTAAATATTCAACCATTGGAGTCGCCCGCGTAGTGCAGTGGTTAGAGCGTCTGCTCTGGAGTCGCGAAGTAAGGAGTTGATCCTTACATCGCGGGTTCAAATCCCACTGTGGGATGTGGAGACTGGTCCTTCGGATGAGACCATATAAACCGAGATCCTGTGTCACAGTAGGTGCTGGCATGAAAAAGATCCCTCACTGCTCAATAGCCGTAAGTGCCGAGCATAGGACAAAATTTGCAGCTCTCCACTGGCAAGTGGTGGCGTCTCCATATGAGTGAAAAATTCTCGAAAGGGACGTTAAACAACATACAAACAAACAAACAAAATCAACCATTGGAGAATTTTAAGTATTCCTTACTAAATTAATTCTAATTGTACATTTCTTTCGAATCATTTATGCATGGCTTAGGAAAAATTTAAAGTGAAATGTGCTTGCCGAGGAATTGACAGCAAGACACACACTTATCATTATAATAGCAGACCTTATTTTTCTTCCAATGTGCCATAGTTATGTAAATTTTGACAGTGATAAAACAAACATGTTTTGATACATGACCATCCTAGTTACCATGTATTAGTTCTTTGCAGCTGTTTATCGTCTGGTCTAAGATCCTAACGCTCTTTTGCTCTTTAATTGAAGTGGCTAGCAATTTGTAAATATTAAATAATTTAAAATTAAGATTTCACAATACACTGTATAGCATTATGCTGTGTGAAAGAAGTAACACAGAAAAGCAGGCCTAAAACAGAGAATTACAAATGTATTCAAGAACCAACAATAGAAACTAGATTGTTATTTTTCCATTTTAGCCGAAGACTCAAGTGAGCTTTTCTGATCAAAGATTGTCCGGTGGCCATCTGTCGTCCGTTGTCTGTCGTCCATCGTCTGTAAACTTTCCACTGGGCCAATTTCAACCAAGCTTGCTAAAAGCATCCTTGGGTGAAGGGAATTTAAGTTTGTTCACAGGAAGTACCACGCCCTCTTTCAAGCATCCTCACAATGTCAAGGTTTTGTGATTTTGGAATTCCACACAAACCCTTGACATAAGTCGTTATTTAAAAGTTGGGCTTGTGGTTACACATGACGTAATGGGTAATTATAAACTATCCAATGAAAATATATTTTTCAAATCCGTCGTTATCAAATTGCCCAACTCCAGAGCAAATCTTTTGTGGTTGTAAGGATGACGATCTTCAAAAAATTAATCCCCGATATTTCAATTTAAGTAACTAGTCACAAATCCTACAATATTGACACATTCCATTTTAAAGACGAGTCTTATTTGTTTACAAAACTTTTCTACAATAAAAACTGTTTTCTGATTGGTTCCAGTCCTAGACAAGGAACAAATGAAATAGTAGCTTTCTAGCCCAACATTTAAATAACGACTTATGTCAAGGGTTTGTGTGGAGTTCCAAAATCACAAAACCTTGACATTGTGAGGATGTCTTTTAAGGGGAGATAATTAAGAATTTGTAAAAATTTGGTGGCATCTTTTTAAAATCTTCTCAAGAACCACTGGGCAAGAAAAGATGAAACTTAGGTAAAATCTTCATTACATACTCTAGATTCGAATTTGTTCATTATACCCCCCACAAACGAAGTTTTGGGGGTATATAGAAATTACCTTGTCCATCTGTCTGTCTGTGCAAACGTGTCAGGTCCATATCTTTCTTACAGAGAAACATTAGAATCTACTACTTCACACAAAGATTGTTCATGACCTGAGAATGTGTCATGACCTTAACCCAACATCATTTGGTCAAGTTCAAGGTCACTGGAAGAAATAGTTCATAATTCGTGTCGGGTCCATATCTTTCTTATGGATAAACTAGGTGAGTTCCCATTTTACACAAAGATTGCTTATGACCTGAGGGTGTGTCAAGACCTTGAGCCAAGGTCATATGGGAGGTTCAAGGTCACTGAAAGAAAAAGCTCATAATTTGTGTCCGGTCCATATCTTCTTATGGATAAACTTTGTGAGTTCCCATTCTACACAAAGATTGTTCATGACCTAGGGATGTGTCATGACTTTGATCCAAGGTCATTTGGGCAAGTTCAAGGTCACTGAAAGAAAAAGTTTATAATTCGTGTTGGGTCCATATCTTTCTTATGGATACACTTGGTGAGTTCCCATTTTACAAAAAGATTGCTTATGACCTGAGGGTGTGTCATGACCTTGAGCCAAGGTCATTTGGGCAAGTTCAAGGACACTGAAAGAAAAAGCTCATAATTTGTGTCCGGTCCATATCTTCTTATGGATAAACTTGGTGAGTTTCCACTTTACACAAAGATTGCTTATGACCTGAGGGTGTGTCATGACCTTGACCCAGGTCATTTATGCAAGTTCAAGGTCACTGACAGAAAAAGTTCATAATTCATGTCTGGCTGTATCTTTCTTATGGAGAATAATGTCGGGATGTTGGGAGTTTCCACTTCACACAAAGATTGCGTATGACCTGAGGGTGTGTCATGATCTTGACCTATAGTCACTGTAGCAAAAATGGATAAGTAATGCATCCATACTTTCCAATAGAGGATTACTTGAATTTGTTATTTATTTTTTCAATGTAATAAAAAAAAATTATTATAAGTATTCATGTTTTATCAGGCTGCATCTAAAAAAATATAATGAGCAATTTCCGGTAAATTTTCAATCTAAATGTTTAAACAAATTGTGAACACCTCTTAGATCCATCAATTACTAGTATTAACACCGTTCACGGTAGCTCAGTCGGTAGAGCGCTCGCTCCGTGATTGGGAGGTCGTGAGTTCGAATCTCGGCCACGACAGACCTAAGTCGATAAAAAATAGGTAGCAACTGTTCCTTCGCCATGCACTCGGCACTTTGAAGTGAAAGTTGCGGGTCCTTCGGATGAGACCTTAAAAACCGAGGCCCCGTGTCGCAGCAGGCGTTGGCACGATAAAGATCCCTCACTGCTCAATGGCCCTGAGTGCCGAGTAAAGGTCAAAATTTGAAGCCCCTCACTGGTATATGGTGACGTCTCTATATGAGTGAAAAATTCTCGAATGGGACGTAAAACAATATACAATCAATCAATCAATTACTAGTATTAGCTACTTAACACCTTCTCTGAAAAAATCCTGCGGGGGTATTTGTCCATTTTGGACAGTTCTAGTTTCGTGACCCCTGGGGGTCAGAGTTTTACGTAGGAATATAAAGGAAATGTCTTTAAAAATCTTCTTCTTGAGAACAGCAAGGCCATGATTAGTCATATTATTACAGAGGTATCCTCAGGTAGTGTAGATTTAAGTTTGGTCAAATCATGACCCCAGGGGGTTAGGCACAGACACAACAGGGGGCCAAAGTTTTACATAGGAATATATAGGAAATATCTTTAAAGATTTTCTTCTCAAGAACAGCTAAGCCATTATAAGTCATATTAATATAGAAGTATCCTCAGGTAGTGTAGATTCAAGTTTGTTCCCCCCAGTACCCCTCAGGGGTAGGGCAAGGCCACGACAGTGAATCAAAGTTTTACATAGGAATATATAGGTGTAATGGTTAAGGGGCATTTGCCTACTTCAAATAGTGGAATGACCTGACAACCCTTGGAATGGACTAGCTATAGGGTATACACTTATAAGAGCTTTGGGAAAGTCAGGCATTCAGAAGCTAGCTGAAGAGGTTGGCCGTTGAATCAGCAATAAAAAAATTAAGGGTAAGAGCAAAATAAAAGTATAAAAGTTGTAAGCACCAGTGGCAAGTATCCTGAGGAATTGATGTTAAGCTCTGGGTGTAGCAGATCTGAAAAAGATTGAGACAGCTGGTTCTTATCTATCAATAGGAACCTAGGGGAGAAACAATGTGCAAGTTGTATCTTACCCAGTCCCCATCTCTAAGAGAAAATTTGAGTACCCTGTGATTTACCCTCAGACATAGCTGTCTTAATAATCATTCCAATCATTAACTCAGAGTAAAAGGAAAACCAATTTATCCCTTGTTAGAACCTGATCATACATGGCACATAAGAAATATCTTTAAAAATCTTCTTCTCAAGAACAAGTAAACCATTATTAGTCATAATTATACAGAAGGAACCTTAGGTATTGTAGAGTCAAATTTGTTCAAATTATGACCCCCAAGGGGGGGGGGCACAACAGAGGGTCAAAGTTTTACATAAGAATACATAGAAATCATCTTAAAAAAGTCGTCTTCTCAAGAACAGCAAAGCCATGATTAATCGTATCATTATAGAAGCATCCTCAGGTAGTGTAGATTCAAATTTGTTCAAATTTAGGGTGGGGCCACAAAGAGCGATCAGAGTTTTACATAGGAAAACATAGGAAAAAAGTCTATAAAATTTTTCTGCTCAAGAACAGAAAAGCCATGATTAGTAATATAGGTATGGAAGCATCCTGAGGTAGTGTAAATTTAATCCCCCCCTTTTCCCCGTAAACTTTTCAATACTGAAATGATTTCTACTTTTTCCTAAGCAACGTACTCAGGTGAGCGATGTGGCCCATGGGCCTCTTGTTATACATTTTAAACTTCCCAGTATATTTCTCGGAACAAATATGACTCAAAAGTTACTAATTTGCAAAGGAATTGGAATAAATAAGGCTGCAATTTTAGATTATTTTTTTTTCTTCTCTAGATGAACCACGTGATTTGAGACACTACTGCAGGTTGCTGATTAGGCGATGTCTGGGAGTTGATAGACTTAAATATATACCGGAACTTCCGGTTCCAAAACTACTCCATCAATATCTGGACTTCCTGTGATAAGAATAGGTCACTATTGAAATTCCATTTTATTGACAGTTATATGTTATTTTCCTGTTGTTCGTGTGAGAGGACTGTTATGTTTGAAGAATGAAATACATTTGTTATAACAGAAGTTATGAATCTGTCTAGTAAATGTTCTACCGAGCCCCTATCCTTACTTCACACGAAAAATAACTGCTATGAAGGAGAAACTTCAAACATACTGTGCTACAGTATTTTCAAAAAGTGTGTAACTCAAATATGGATTCTTTTAAACGCCCAAGAACTTTTAACAAAGTTGGAATCAATTTTTTTTTTACTTTTCAAAACCTCTTACAGTTCCTCAAAATAAATTAAAGATCATGGTATTTGGCATAATAGACAACTATAATAAGAATGGAACACGGAAATTTCCTACCTGTGACTGGTCATGTATACAAAATAATTATGTTAAAAATCAGTCTGATTCTATATACAAGTAATCTGAAGTTCATATTAATTAATCACAATATTAATGTAGTCTTTGGAAATTGTTGGGATTTCGATGGGCAGTAATTGTGGTCGATATAATGATCTTATTTGCAAATATAACCTATCACTGGGTCATATTTTGGCTGACTTGTTTCATATCAATTGTTAAACCTTTGTTTTTGTATTAATTTTGACTACGGAGTGTTCCGTCTACTTGATCAATACGTAGGGTGTGACCTGTCAGCAGGGGTTGCTCTACTCCTCCTAGGCACCTGATCCCATCTCTGGAATTTCCAGGGGTCGGAGTTTATGCCCTGTTCACTGATTTGTATTGTTTGATGTTTTTTTCTGAGATCGATCGCTGTTCGTTGTCTTCACCCTTTTTCATTCTTGTTATGCATTGCTAAAGATTTTGTCTGTTTCTTATAGATTTCTTTGTACTTATTTTAATGAACTCCCAAAGATGATCATGAGTGGGAATTCATTTCTCCGTAAAGTGTCTTAGATGTCACACACAATCATCTGATAACTAATATTTGCTGTTTTTTAATCATATTTACATCAGTGCCATTTTCTCTTCAAGAGTTTTCTCATGAACTACTCACAGATGACCTCATCTCACTTAACCTTTTCATGCTGGCTGTCACATCAGGTCCAAACTACCACAAATAGGAAGGAATACAATTTTACATTAAGTATCTTACGTAAAGATGTAACACACTCCTTTTTATACATATACAGACAAGACGTGAAGATGTCACAGTAAACTCAATCCTTAGAAAATACTACTATCCTAACCTTATTTGAGGAGTTATATCTTACACAGATGTTCATTGCATTTGTATTTCAATGAAAAAAATATTGATGATGTCATATATTTTGGAAAGCCGCCTGCGTGGCGCAGTGGTTAGATCGTTTGTTCTAAAATTGCGAAGTGATTAGTTGATCCTTACGTCGCGGGTTCGAGTCCCACTGCGGAACGTGGAGACCGGTCCTTCAGATGAGGTCATAGACACCGAGGTCCCTTGTCGCAGTAGGTGCTGGCACGAAAAAAGATCCCTCAATGCTCAAAGGCCGTGAGTGCCGAGTACAGGTCTAGATTTGCAGCCCCCACCGGCTAGCTTTGTTATCTTAATTTGAGTGAAAAATTCTCGACGGCCCGTTAAACAAACATTATTTAAAAGTCTATGAGAGAGATGATCTTAAGACTTCTTACTTGCATATAACATGCAATAAGTAATTCTGACTGTTGTTGATGAAGATCAGATTTACTATCTTATTGATCCCTGATTGTCCTATTCCTCTTTATTTGGAGCAACATATCTTCATTTATCAGTTCATTTTGTTTTAATATGTAATTATAGAATCGCCTTTCCCTGGATCCTTTATGAGGTTGTATAATACTAAGTGACCATTAAGGCCTTTTTTTTGTTGGTTTTCTTGATGATAATTCTATATATGAACACAATATACTTATTATCTATATTTTGATATTCATGATAAACGATAGTTAGTTGCTGTTTTATTTAATTTATAGAATGAATTTATTGAATTTTGAATTAAAAAAACAACATGGCGGATTTGATGTACAATGACCGCTTGAATAAGGTTTTGGAGTTTTCAGAACTTTAATCGTTTACATCTTTGCTGTCCTAGTGTTTCTGATTCACTGAGTGCACTTAAGTGAAGTGAATCAAAGCCTTGGCTAGAAAGATGTTATTGAAGCTTAAATTTGACAAAAATAAACATTTGAAAAGATGTAAAAGTCATCTTACAAAAAAGAAAGTCAACATTTAGTCGTAAAGATGTTCAGTGCATCCCCCATGTAGTGTTAAATGAAATTTGATTAAGTAATGACCAGTTGGTGCTAGAAGTGGGTTCTCAAGATGATGTCAAAATTTTCATGACCAAATTAGTACACTTCGGCACTTCGGCCTATTGGCCATTTGTTTGTTAGTTGTGGAAACCACTGCTAATGATTGTGTGACAGGATTTTCGGTCATTACAGATAATAAATAGAGGATATTCAATGTTTTGTAGATGAATATGGAATTTATTTCACAAGTGGGTCAGGATTTTTTGATATTTTCACAAGTGCGAATTAATATCAGAGTATTATGTATGTGATGGACATTTAAGGATAGAAGATTGAAAACCACAAAATAAAAGTATAAAAGTTATAAACACCAGTGGCAAGTATTCGAGGGAATTGATGTTAAGCTCTGGGTGTAGTAGAGCTGAAAAAGATTGAGACAGCTGGTTCTTATCTATCAATGGGAACCTAGGGGAGAAAGACGGTGTAAGTAGTACCTTACCGAGTCCCCATCTCTAGATAAGAGAACATTTAAGTACTGTTTGATATACTCTCAGACAGAGTTGTCTTTATAATCATTCTAATCATTACCTCAGACAGAGTAAAAGGAAAACCTATATACTAGTATCCCTTGTAAGAACCTGATCATACACGTTACACAGGAAATATCTTTGAAATCTTCTTCTCAAGAACAACTAAGCCATTATTAGTCATATTTATAAAGAAGGAAACTTATGTTTTGTAGAATCAAGTTTGTTCAAATTATGACCCCCAGGGGTTACGGGCACAACAGAGGGTCAAAGTTTTGCATAAGAATATATAGGAATCATCTTGAAAAAATCTTCTGCTCAAGAACAGCAAAGCCATGATTAGTCATATTATTATAGAAGCATCCTCAGGTAGTGTAGATTCAAATTTGTTGAAATTTAGGGTGGGTAGGGTGGGGCCACAATGAGCGATCAAAGTTTTACATAGGAATACATAGGGAAAGAAATTTTTGAAATTCTTCTGTTTAAGAACAGCTAAGCCATGATTAGTAATATTTGTATGGAAGCATCCTGAGGTATGTAAATTTAAGTCTACCCCTCCTCTTGAAACTTTTCAATACTGAACTGATTTCTGCTTCTTCCTAGCCAGTGTGCTCAGGTGAGCGATGAAGCCCATGGGCCCCTTGTTAATGTGATTTGTTTGGCATGTTGAAAAAGTGTTATTATTCATCTATTTTTCAGATGACCAATGAGTAAACATTGATCGGACTAATTAATATAAATTAATATCATACATGCGGTATCTTAATATCACCACTGCATATGATATCGATACATGAAACATTAAAAAAAAACTATGGCGCCATAGAACTTTATTTCATGTATTGCAAACTGATGTTAGTCGAATTGCATTCACAAATGAAATGAAAAAGGTCAAGATAATGATCAGTGATCGATCTCAAAAACAATCTATAAACAATATAAATCTGTGAACAGGGAGTAAACACACAGACCCCCATAACTTCCGGAGGTAGAATCAGGAGCCTAGGAGGAGTAAGCGACCGGCCTTTCCCGTCCGTGATCCCTTTGTATGATAAGGTAGACGGAACTATCTGTTGTCAAATTTAGTATTAATAAAGGCCTAATAATTAGTATGAAATACGTCAGCCAAAATACGACCCTCTCAGTAGCCTGCCTCGGTTTTAAAATTGATCGTCCTCGGAGCATGCTTTTGAGTATCGAATGAGTTTGAAGCTGTAAACATCATATGCAGGTGATAGAGTCCCCCCCCCCCCTTCAGCAACATCACTGAATTCTCTGCCCCATGGGCCATAAATTTCACAATACTGGACATCCTTTCTCATCATAATCTAATCTAGCACGTAGTTTATCTCTAAATATAAATAGGGGAAAGACGATTTTTAAAGAATTTATGCATTAATTTTCTCTATATGCTCATTAGAGCCCCACCCTAACATCAGAACCTCTGACCCTGGGGCCATGAATTTCACAATTCTGGCAGAAGACTCAGTGATTTTTACAATCATTCCAACAGTTTCAGTATTTGTTGTAGATGTTAGTGCAATTTTACACTCTCAGTACCTCTCAATTCCATACGTGATTTCAAAACAATACTCTCAATATGGGTGATTTTGGTATGATTCGATAGGTTTTGAATAAAACTAATTTTTAGTCAGAAAGTAATATTAAATAGATTTAATGTAAAATATAGATTTTTACAGCGGAATTAAAAGATATTTTGAGAGTGTAACGGGTTACATTTTTACGCAGGGATCTTTTTTTCTTGGGTAGAATGTTCCAAAATGAATCTATATTTCTCATTTTACTCATAAATCAAGAGCATTCCATGTCGTTTTTGACGTCGTAAGCGATTTTGCATTCAACGGTGACAAGAAAAAGAAAGTGATAGTGTTTACGGCAAAAGACTCTATAACGCAATTAATTTAAAATTTGTACATATGAATATAAACATTAAATTAAATGTACTCATTTACAAGAAACTTAATTTAAAAACAGGAGACCAAAGGGCTTTAACGGTCACATGTGTGTAATGTAACGATCCATAGATTAAAATAAGCTGATAAATGAAGCTATGTTGCTCAAAAACAAGAGAAATAGGATGCTCAGGGATCAGCAAAATATTAATTTAGTACTCAGTAACAAATCTTGAAGTTGATCTATTTATTTGCCTGTACATTCCCCCATTTGTCACTATCCTAATGCTGACTAAACAAAACAATAGTTCGAGAGCACTATTAGTTAACACATTTCATTCCCCCTCACATTGGCCTTTTTTAGTCTTTGAAGAATATTTAATGTACAAAGATACAGTATTTTTGT